TCCTATACCTTCTGTTTTTGTTACTTGTATTATTTTTACTTTGTCAGGGTTTTGTAACATTTATATTCTATTTCCAAATCTTAATTCTTTCATTTTCTTAATTCCGTGTCTTAATTCTCTATCTAGACAGATCCAACACGTATCCCTCATAGCTTCTCCATTCCCCAATTCAGTGTTTTTGTTCCTCTCTTGGTTGGCAGGACTTCACTATGGAGTGGTTTTTCTTGGGTGCTGGGTTCCCTGAGATCTTTTCTTTTGGACGATCTCTGCCTATTGCTTTGACTAAGAGGAAAACCTGATAGATATTGCTTCATGCCTTCAAGCTTTGCATGTTGCTGTGAAGAAGTGTGAGACCAGCCAGATTCAACCCTCTCGAAGGGGACTTCCTTTATATACATGACACTAACCTGGTCTTAAAAATGGAAAAAAAACCCAACAACTACTAAGATGTAGGAATGACATAGCTTTTTCAAGGCATTATCCTAGCGAGTAGTTCACTGGAGCCCAGGACTTGTATCTAGATCTGTCTCTAAAACCTGCATTATTCTATCCCACTGCACGATGATGCTTCTGTCTTGCAAAGTACAACCAGTGACACTGGGAAACGTTGGGAAAAGTAACAGTCTTCAGCTTCCCTGGGCCTCAGTTTCCTCTTTTGTAAAATCCAGGGCTGGACCAGGTCAGTCGTTCCTAGATTTAAAGGTTTTAAAAAACTAGTGATGTGGAGGGGACTGACAGAGGTGCTTGCTGATGAAGCGTGGGTACTAAAAAATAAGCTGCCAGCTGCTATTATCATTTTTTCATAAAATAAGGGACTTTTTTTTTTTTGCTGTACGCGGGCCTCTCACCGTTGTGGCCTCTCCCGTTGCGGAGCACAGGCTCCGGACGCGCAGGCTCAGCGGCCATGGCTCACGGGCCCAGCTGCTCCGCGGCATGTGGGATCTTCCCGGACCGGGGCACGAACCCGTGTCCCCTGCATCGGCAGGCGGACTCTCAACCACTGCGCCACCAGGTAGGCCCAAGGGACATTTTTAAAACTAAAAAAAGTAGAAAGGACATTGTCTCATAATAATGAGACTGTATTTACATTGAATAAACTAAGCTTTTTGAAAAACTCACTACTTATTCCATGCATTTGGCCTCCACCCAGTGATGACTTCTTCCTGGACAAGCACCCCTCCACGGGCAGGATTAGTAAACCACTGCCTAGATGACGTCACTGAAAAGATAGTCTATGATACTATGAGTAACAGTGAAACTTGTCCTTATTTTCCCAGGTAGGATGACTATATCCCAAGTCCCTTGGTCTTTAGAAAGCAATTAGCCTCAATGTGAAATGGGGACCAACTGATAAGGAAGTGAGGGACAGGATACTCCACGGTGAAGGTAATAGGTATGGAGAGACAGAAAAGATGGACCTTGTTCTTCGATTAATATAGTTATCACTGAGCTAAATACAGATCAAGTTCTACATTATAAAGTTTTAGCATGTTTCCTCAAACAACTTTTATCTTCTTGATGGTACTAGTATTCCTATGATATTGCCTTACAATAAAGTTTGACAACTACTGTGAAGTAAGCAGGAAGGAAGGGCAGAGGAATACATTTTCTAGTTTTATATGAACAAGACAGCTGCTTCAAGCATGCCTACCACGGAGCCTAACACACATATATTCAATGCCTGCTTTATCCCATGCTCAGAGCTAAATGATGTATCCCATCACTGAGATACACTTTAGAGACATCCTATCATTTAATCTCAACATACCTCTGAATTAGGAACTATCACTATTGCTTTTTTTTTTTTTTTGCGGTACGCGGCCCTCTCACTGTTGTGGCCTCTCCCGCTGCGGAGCACAGGCTCCGGACGCGCAGGCTCAGTGGCCATGGCTCACGGGCCCAGCTGCTCCACGGCATGTGGGATCTTCCTGGACCGGGGCACGAACCCGTGTCCCCTACATCGGCAGGCGGACTCTCAACCACTGCGCCACCAGGGAAGCCCTCGCTATTGCTATCTTACAGAGGAGTAAACTCAGGATCAGTTTGGTTAAGAAATCTATCAAGGGCACACAGCTAATAAGCCGTAGAGATGAGTTTCAAATCTAGGTTACTCTGGTTCAAAAGCTCATTCATACCACAAATTCTCACACAACAGGCTTGGAAAATATTAGCTACTGAATAAGTGTTTCTGATTTGAATTATTATAAAACAAACCTAAAACAACTTAGTTGAAGAATTTTAATGATATAAATGTCCCATGGTGTTGAACTAGGAATCAAGTAATTCACTCAAGGGTAATAACCAGTGTTAACGTCTTTTCTTGTTCGTGTCTAAGCCCAGTCAGCAACGAGGCTATGTTGCTCTTAGTCACAGGGTCCCAGGCCAATAGTGGCTCCATCTCAGTAGATATTTCCACGACTGCTGAGGCAAGAGAAATGACCACCACACACAGCTCTTAAAGTGCCTTCCCAGAAGCGACACATTTCACTTCCCTTCACATTTCTTTGGCCAAAGCAAGACACACGGCCATATTTCAAAGCGGGTGGGGAAGTTTGGCTACCAGGTGCCTGACAGGAGGAAAGCTGGAAATATTTGGTGAACGGCAGAGCGCCCCTTCCCGACCTCCAGGGAACCACTCACCTGTTTTCTGCCCCAATGATCTTGTCTTTTCCAGAATGAAATATAAATGGAATCATACAGTGTGTAGCTTTTGATGGCTGGCTCTTGTCACTCAGCACAATGTTTTTGTTTTTGTTTTTGTTTTTTCTTTTTTTTGTGGTACGTGGGCCTCTCACTGTTGTGGCCTCTCCCGCTGCGGAGCACAGGCTCCAGACGCGCAGGCTCAGCGGCCATGGCTCACGGGCCCAGCCGCTCCGCGGCATGTGGGATCCTCCCGGACCGGGGCACGAACCCGTGTCCCCTGCATCGCCAGGCGGACTCTCAACCACTGCGCCACCAGGGAAGCCCCCAGCACAATGTTTTTGAGACCCATCCATGTTGCTGCCTGTTGAGGTAGTTTGTTCCTTCTACTTCCTGAGTGGTATTTCATCATACAGGTGTTCCATAATTCATCAGGTGAAGGGCTTTCTAGTGTATCTTTAGTGTTTGGTCTGCAAATGCCTGCTTGAACTTTGCTACAAGAGATCTTTGCTAAGGGTTCCTGTTCAGTTACATGTCATAGCTACATGTTCATCCACCATCAGCTAGTCGTCAGCCTGCAGCTACTGGAGCGGGTAGATCTCCAGGAACTTTAACTTCAATTTACTTCTGCTGTTGGAAGATTTATCCACCCACTCACCTATTCTTTGTTTTAGTGAATGCCTGCTAGGTGCCAGGTACTGAGCATATCATGTTGAGCAGGACAGACTTGGTTCCTACCTGGACAGAGCTTACGATTTTTAACCCATTAATCCCTTCATGATATGGGGAGCAGGTTGGAGAAGGAGGGAAGGGGAAATGACAAGAAAGCTTGGATGGCAAGTCCGAGGTCTTCAGGACCAGTTACTAGTGAAATGACACATTAATCCTGTACTTGCCTGTCTTTCTTTTGGTGACAGGATGGCCCTATTGAAGAGAACCCATCTGTGCTATGTTTCTTTGTAGTTTACAGAGTGTTTCCATATGAATTCTCCCTTTTCATCCTCACAACAACTCTGGGAGGCAACACTTATTATCCCCACTTCCCTGATCAGGACACTGAGGCTCAGAGAGCTGAGCGGACTCAGGCCTCACATCGTGATCTGGGAAAAAGAGCCAGGAATCTGTTAGGGAGTGTCTCGTACCAGCTGTTAGAGCCCAGGCCTTCTGATGATGATGTCAGTTTTTATGAGGTCAATAAAAATCCACCTGCATTTCTTTTCCCTGGCCTCTCCCTTGTATCTTTCTTATCTGAAGTTCATGTTTGCTGCGTCAGGTGGCTTCATGTCGATACCATCCAGTTCTGGGGGTTTAAAGTTGTCCTGGCTGACCAATATCCAAGACAGGAGGACTCTTCCCTATATAATCTATATATTGTGCCCCTTACCTTTCATTACTTCTCAAACAATTGGAAAATGACTGTGTACTGCTGGAGTTCTTTAAGTCCAAGGGTCTCAAAATATTTTTTAGATTTTTATTTACTGGGAAATCCCCTCCTGAGGTGGAGGCTGCACATTGCCAGGTGAGATGCACAGGTAGGACAAGTACTAGGGCCAGCTTGCGGGTGGACAGCAGAAGGTCCTCCCATTTTCAGGCCTCAACAGTTCCCAGGGGAGAGTGGGTATGGAAATGCTGTGATGTTTACAATGGCTGGTTGAGCTGGGCAGGAACATGAACGAGGTTCAGTACTGGGTTCTGCTAAGGTCTTAGGTGGGGATTAAATGGTGGGACAGAAAGCAGCGTAGGGGGAGCCGGGTCAGGAGAGGAAAGTGCTTCTGTTTATTTCCATTGAGAGATGTCTGATGGGCTGCAACCCCGATCTAATCCGCCAAAAGGTCACCGTCGTGTCCTGAGCTGCCATTATTGGCCTCTCCTAGTGCCAAGGTTACTGTCATACAGCATCGGAAGGCTCATCCACCCCTGCCACAAAAGGCACTCAAATCTCAAATAAGCAGTTAATTAATGAACAAATGTCAGCCAAGTGGCCACAGTCACCGGCCACGTAAGTCTAAGGCCACGGCCTCCCACCTTAAAGTTCTAGATTCTCTCCACCATAGAGCACAGATATGCTTACTCTCCCTTCTCCTGCAAGATATGAAGAGTGATGGTGGGAGGCATGGAGGAGGAAATCTTCCGTGTCTGAAAACTGGTTACTGGCTCTTTCCAACCAGCAGAAAGAAAAGTAAACAAAGGCAGGTTCTATGCCTGATCCGTCTGCCCATCCGTCCATCATCAGAAGCGTATTTCCTCCCTTGTGCCATGTAAGAGTTCACAGCGCAGCTCCGCCGTTTAAATGATGCCCTCATGAAAATGAACTTGTTGCACTCTGCTGTGGTTTGTTTGTTATCACGAGAAAAACACAGTGAAAATGATATTGATTTTATTGCATCATTTTACTGACTAGAACGCCAGACTTATAGTGGATATAAGTATAAAAATAATCGAATTCTTACAAATACTTTGCTACTACAGTACTGAATAATTCGTGGAGGTTGCAATTATAATACAACTTTAAATAACATTCTCATAATGGATTTAACACAATCAACCAGGGGCTAAGGTTTAAAGGTCTGCAAAGAGAAATCTGGGACAATGTGAAAACTCAAAAGTTCCTCTTCCAGCCACATGCTTCATTTAACCATAAATCCAGCAACACAAACATGAACAAAACTCACAGCACCCCATGATGAGACATCTTTTAAAAAACAGGCGAAGTAATACAGAAACCTGGGTTAGTGTCCCAGCTAGACAGGTTCCATTCCATCCCTGTCTAGTCCCATCCTTCCTATCCAAGAACTCTGCACCTGAAGTGCATTATCATGTATCCAAGAAAAAAAAAGTTAGAATCTAATATGCCAATCCTTTTAAATATCCTCTTTAAAATGCCACGAGAACAGAGCCAGTCTAAGATATGTCTTTTTTTTAGACCTCAATTGCCCCCTTTGGTTTCACAGGGTTTTCTGTGAGCACTTCACACCAAATAGGACAGATTATAACACTCTTGAAAAGATACTTTAGCACAACAAATTAACTGACATTTAAAACTTTAATCTTTCTAGTAGTTTAACCAGCTTCCTTCTCCGGGGAGCCAAGAAAAGAAAAAGAAAAAAGAGCATATACTTAACAGCCAACTCTACAAAACGGTATGTATTTCCAAAAATGCACATGAGAACCTCAGAATGCCGCTTTGTCAAGAAGAAGGAAATGAAATGTCCCTTCTAATCCCCACAAAAGTTTTCACACAGAAAAAATATCTCTGATACTAAAGGTGGTTTTCAGTAAGATACAAAATACTGAGATACTGAACTTTGCTTTCTTCCTCTCTCCACAGAAGCGCTCTAGTTTTGAAATCAGTGTATCTTAGAACCATGGGTCAAAACCCTAGTTTGGGGTGTGTTAGGCTAAACTGAGCGAGAAGCAGCTGGCCTGAACATTCTTGCTTCTGCAGGCAGCACCCATGGAGTTACAGGCACCCACCTGGGTGCACCACCAGTGGGCAAGATGGCTTAACGGAGGCCCCAAGAAGCCACACGTGAGGAGTGACCCTGACGTGTCTGCTCTGGGAACTTTCACATCTGAACGAATATCACCCTTCAATGACACTTTCGTGGGCAGCCATCCAGCCTCATCTTGCAAAGATGTTGCCCTCCCATTTGGGCTAACGTTAAGAACGACCTCTTTAAGAACTTAACGGTTACGTCTTAGTTTTGGACCTCAAATGCTATCAGCCAGCTTGATTACACTATCCACTCAGCAATTTTGGCTCTAAATGACTTAGCTGCTTCTGAAAACAAACTTTTGTCAAAGGAGGAAGATTTGTCAGCATTTAAGACATTTCAACTGAATATGTTCCAGACTCAGATCATGTTCACGAAAACATGCTTCCAATATGTGGGAAACGTGGCCTCACCACGGGAGCAGGGCGAGGCAGCCCTCAGACAGATGTCTAAGTCTGGCCGTGTCTGTCAAACACCCAGGTCATCACCATACACCTCCTTCAACCAAAGCCACGTACCAATATGCTTCTTGCTAACAGGCATGAGCCAGCCACTGTTATCTTGATGATGGCCTCAAGCATCCAAGAAATACATGTAACAACAGACCCGAAAGGACTGTTTCAACATTTTGCTTTTGTACTTCATGGCATTAGTTTAGTTACTGTTTAATAATATTAAAGTTCTTAAAATAAACAACTTTTATTTTAAGCCCACTCTCTCCAGCTCTCTTTGACACTGGATGGTGAGGCATAAGCCAGGGAGGCGAGGCAAGAGGTATAGCGAGAAGAACAAGCCAGGCGGAAGGGTTTGAGTCCTGGCCCTCCAAGGCAAGGTGCTTATCCCCTCTGAAGGGCCCCATAGCCGAGAAATGGGCTCTCTCGCACCCACCTCACAAGGGTGCAGTGAGGCCACGTACCCGGCACAGAGCCTGGGTGTGGTGGGAACACATGAGATGTCTGTTGAGACTATTTAGGCTTTCTAAACTGTCTCTAGTGCCCTGGGCTGGCTCATGGGGCAAGAGGAAAAGACACCAGAAATAAGACCCTCTGGAGCTTCGACAAAACCTGCAGATGCTGGGAGGCCCCGGTGAGCACCTCCCTGCCTTGCGAGTCACCATGCTCCGGCCTGCTGCGGGACATGGGGTTCCACGCGGCCTCTCTTCCCTACAGACGTCTGAATGTCTCACGGGCAGCTTCCTCCAGCACCCCCAGCTGTGGGGCTCCCACGCAGGACCCAGGCATTTCTGTGCACAGGGCCCTCACACTCCAGGTTCAGGGGCTGACACAGCGCCTGTGCCAGAGGGGAGGGCTTCTGCTCACCAGGGGTGCATCCAGCCTGTCCCACATCCCTGGGGCTGCTGCCCCACTAGCTGTGTCTTGGCTCAGGGAGGACCCTCTAGAGGTGTTTAACCCCAAGCAGGAACAAAGCCAGCCTCTCCCTTCCTTACCCAGGCGAGCAGCCGGCACTGGCACTGACACCCGCCCCCAACCCTGCAAGCCTCTAGAAACTGCAGATACGATGTGAACTCAAGCTTGCAGGGGGCCTCCCTTTCTCACAGTGAAAGGAAAAACAGCACTCTTAATCCACTTCACATGCACAAAAGCCACTCCCAGGAAAGCATTCTTGGAACTTACAGCACACTCTTTTCTGGATGTTGAGATTCTGCTCCAGGACGCTTTGGGGACACAATGCTTCATGTCGTGAAGCATATAGCTTCTGGCCCTGGCACAGGCGATGATCTGTCAGCTGTGAGGTCAGCTGGAGGCGGCGGGCGCGTATGCCTGGGGATAGCCGCCATTGTGGCTCCGGGTCCCGGGGGCAAGCGAGGCTCTGCGGCCAAAGCCCGGAAGCAGCCGCCTCCCTCGGGCCCCAGCCTGCTGGCTCAGGTGTGCTGAATGCAGGAGCTTGAGCTCTCCAGTTAGATGGAAGACCACGAGGCACAGACGGCCGTTCGGTTGCACGGAAAGAGGCCAGACCCGAGATTTCTAAAAGGGGATGCTCTGAAATTTTAAGTTGGCACCCACTAACAAAACAGAATTCTTTTTGTATCTATCTCATGAGATGAATGCAATTTAAACTACTAAGTGGTATCACAGCTGACTAGTACTCCTGCTGCAGCAGGGAAATGGTGACTCGTGGAGACCACGGGACTTGGGATTTTGCACTTAAAACTGTTTGGACGAGAATTACATAAGACTAATGATTAGATTCATTCTGAAGAGCTTAGAGAACCTTGAAGAAACAACCATGACCGGGACAGAACCATCTCCAAAGGCTGCACCATTTCCAGAAGTGTGGGTGCCACTGAGCTCCAAGCTTCAGGGTGGGAACAATTCTTTTACCTTTGTGTTCTCTTCACTTCATCCTGAACCAGGATGTTCAAAAGCAGACGAGAATGATCACAGTTCCACAAGAAGCAGTTAAAGGCACAGCACAGGATATGCCCCCCTCGCAGGACCCACGTTTCAGCCACCGTAAGACTCGTGGAATTTCCTTCCCCAAGGCCAACGCTCAACTCCCTAACTGGCCAGAAGTCTTTAGTTCTCCAATGCTGACTTGAATTATACCCATGTTTCTGGAGGGAACTCCGTAGTAGTACAAAGAGTTACAAATTACCGTTTGAGAGAAAATAAGTTATTTCTTCAATGAATAAATAGCTTTGAGCGGTTGGCTGAACCACTCAACCGACACTGAGCTTGAGGACGAGATCGGGGCTACTAGCAAAGATGCCGCACTGGTGGGTAAGCAGGCTCACGTGTGGCTCCAGCCCAGCTCCGCATTCTTTCTCAGGAACCGCACGCCCGGCTTCCCAAAGCACTGGTGTTTCAGAAAATTGAATACGCCTGTTCAGCCCATTTCCCTAACCATGTTCAGCTGCAGCAACAACAAAAGCTGCTTCTCCATTAGTGGTGAAGTACCAGCTCAGACCCAACCTGCCTTGAGCTCTCCACTTCTACTCCACATGTAGCAGCCTCGGCCTCAAGGATGGAGGTCAGAGCCCACGCACTATGCGGTGCCCTCAGGGATGGTACCCTTCCGCCAGGGCCTTCATCCAGTGCTTGCTGGGCCTCTAACTAGAACCAAATGGAAGTTGTTTTGCCCTGATCCAGATGTAACTGCAAAGGGAAAAAAAAAAAATCCTAGGTAAATGTGTCACCTTGACTAAAGAAAACAAACTGGAATTGTGTGCTGTGCCTCCCAAATTTCAGTTCCTCGTTTTGGGGGTTTGTTTGGAGAACGTAGCACGAGACGACTTAGGAGGGTGTGTTAACCTCCAGCATCTCCCAACACTAGTGGTATGTCCATCGGCATCTGTTGTTCAGCACGTAGCTACTGGGCAGGAAAACAACGAAAGAGCCAGTATTTTGCTGGAAATGAATCACCACGTTGAGGCCTATGGAAGTGCCCGAGTGGAAGAGGCCTTCGTTCTGGAGCAGTCTTGAGAAACGTCCAAAAGGAGGCCTCCCTCCCTACTTTTGCATTTACTAAAGTGCGAACTAAGGAAAACCTGGGTCCTTGCACTGATACCTGATGATCAGCCCTCATTAACAGTCACCCCGAAGCCACGGCCAAGCTGCAGTCATGCGGGGACTCTACCGTACTGGCCCGTGTTCACATTCACAGTAGCAGTGAAGGTGCCGGATGAGCAGCCTGCAGCTCCGCGTCCACGGGCTCCAGCTGTCCCCTTCCACTGTGGCCACACCCCCCATGCCCATCCCCTCTCCGCTGGCCGCTCAGGTATGGCTGCACAAGTCCTGGGAGCAGCCGGCGGGAGGCGCTCCGCTGGTGCAGTCGCAGCAACGGGCCCCTCTCTCTGCTGCGCTTAGAAGTAGTCTCTTCTCCTACTCTCATCGCTGATGAAAGATGGGTTATACTGTCCGGGGAAAATGCAAGAATGCCGCGATCCTGGCAATCCAGTGTAGGCCGGGTAGAGTCCATTTCGTTCAAGTTCAGGATTCCTTACACTTGTAGGCTGGTGGCCAAAGAGAAAAGAAGAAAAGTCAGTTTATTATTCTTGGGTTTAAATTTAATAGTTAAGAAAAAAGCAACAATGAATGCTATATTTTGACGAATTTAAGATGGAGGCACCTATACATAGCAGAGCAAGGTCTGACCTAGAAGTCAGGACCTCCCAGGTCATCTCTTTATGGAACCTGGGATCCCTTTGCCCATATTTTAAAAGTGGGTTTTTAGAAACATTACATAATCAAGAGCAGCCCAGTCATTTTTATTTTATTTTATTAAATTTTTTTTATTTATTTATTTTTGGCTGTGTTGGGTCTTCGTTGCTGTGCGCGGGCTTTCTCTAGTTGCGGTGAGCGGGGGCCCCTCTTCGTTACAGTGTGCGGGCTTCTCATTGCGGTGGCTTCTCTTGTTGCGGAGCACAGGCTCTAGGCGCGCGGGCTTCAGTAGCTGTGGCACGTGGGCTCAGTAGTTGTGGCTTACAGGCTCTAGAGCGCAGGCTCAGTAGTTGTGGTGCACGGGCTTAGTCGCTCTGCGGCATGTGGGATCTTCCCGGACCAGGGCTCGAACCCGTGTCCCCTGCATTGGCAGGCGGATTCTTAACCACTGTGCCACCAGGGAAGTCCCAAGAGCAGCCCAGTGATTTTAGACCAACGTAGGAAAAGACTCGGGTTAACTATTATCTTGATTATTATCAAGAGTAATTATTATCTGATTATCATTTTGACTTTTAAAAAAGAGTTTCTTTGCGAAGCACAATGGCTTTAAATCCTCTCTGGTATTTAGCAGAAAGCTATTGTCCCTGCTGAGAATGGGGAACTGACCTTCACAAGGCCACCTGTCGGAGGTGGAGTTAGGACCCCAAAGCAGGAGGCCAGCTGATTCTCAGGTGTCTCTGACCAGATCCCAGCTTAGTGGGTTGTGACTACCTACCTAACGCAAAAGGAGCCCCTGGGGAAGGCCCTGGCTACTCTGAGGAGGCCCTCCTTCAGGGAGAAATGTCGGCTTATAGAAACAAAACACTAGTTTCTGTTTATTATAATGTGGATCTCAGGAGAGCCCAGCGTACACCTGAGGCCACTGTGAGGGACAGCCCACTCCCTCAGGGGACAGCTTAGGCTCTGCTTCTACAGACTGCTCAGCCCACTGTCTGAAATGAAAATGGGGTTCATGTAAGTTTGTGAGTGCATCTACTTAAGACAACTCTTCAGCTAATGGCCTGGGAACGTGCAGCAAACGTGGGTCCTGTGATGCTGTAGGCCTGTCAGTTGCTCTGTCCTGGTGCTGCCTGGGGGCTGAGGAGCCCCTAGTGAAGGTTGTAAGTGTGTGGGTACCCCTGGGAGAGATACCTGCTTAGTTACGGCTGCAGTTGTCAGAGGAAAAAGACTTTCCTGACAAACAGAGGGTAAAGCAAAGCTCCTATGCATACATATCAACGGAAACATTCAGACTAGATCTATCTTTGTATCTACATTTATCTTTCCCCTTATTTCTTTTTGTTCTTCCTCCAGGCCAGGTTCAGATTTTTCAGAGTTCATTGAAACTACAGCTTCCTTAGCACGAATGCCCCTCCCATCCAAAGTCTGAACGCGCAGGTTCATCTCCACAGCAACCAGAGTGGTTGTTCAGTCTGTTAACAGGATTGCCTAAAGCTATTAAGTCCCTTGAAACCTCAGGGCAAGGTTTCACGTTTACTGCTATACTTCTAAGCTCAGCGAGGCAGGAGAAGTCACTTGCCAGCTGTTTGTTTTTCAGCTCAGGTATCACCGCCTGTGTTTGCTTTATGGCTGATGCAGTGTAACATGAAAGAACTGAGCAGGCGTGGGAATATGACATGGGTTATTCAGTGTGGGACAGAAGCAGCAAGGGTTCAAGGCGGTCTCTCATCTTTCCAAATGATGCACTCCAGGGCTGGACATAGCAAATTATTGAAGACCTATTGAATCTTCCAAACCTCTGACAATTCAGGATGACGCTGAATTGTTCTCTTTTATACCTTTTCCCAATCCCTCGGTTTCAACTACCCAACCGCATGATGTAAAGCATGGCAGACAAGAGATAAGAATGAAAGGGCCAAAGGCTAAATATCATGAAATTCTTTCTCTATCTTTTACCTTCCAATCCTGTAACTTAAAAGCAAGTTCAGTGACATGAAGGTTATTGCTTCAACCTCATAAAGTACATACCGTGCTCTGTGGAAATACTCTTCATAGCTCAATGTTGAAACGAATAAATCCCATGCAAATAGACAGTAAGTAAATTGAATATTAAACTATGTGAATAAGAGGCGTAGGTCACCATTCTTTTTAACCTTTAATGAGCTGGAGTGCTTCTACTACAACAAAACAGAATCCGTTGGGAGTTCTCTGGTCGCCTGGTGGTTAGGATTCCGGGCTTTCACTGCCGTGGGCCGGGTTTAATCCCAGGTCAGGGAACTGAGATCCTGCAAGCCACGTGTCGAGACCAGGAAAACAGAACAAAACAAAAAACCCCAAAACAAACAGAAAAAACAGAATCCCTTTAATTCTCCGAGGAAATTGGAGCTGGGAGGTCACTGGGCATGGGAATACACACCGAGTAATACACATCCGTCATCTGGAGGAGGTTTTTGGTACTTCCATTCTCATGCATTTCAATAGCTTCTCGGCCCCATTCTTGTGAGCGAGGGTTCTTGGGGTACTCAGCATATGGGGACATTTGGAAATCCCCACTTTTGAAGATGAGCTTGCTTATGTCGTTTTTATTCTTTCTGCAAGGTAAAAAAATTGTGAAAATTGAAATAAGTCCTGTGAAGAAATGCTAACTGTGAAAGCACCATCTGGTTTTCTGCAAGGAAAATTAGACCTAAAGATACCACTATGCATTTTTGTAGCTGCCCACTGAGGAATGTTATTATTGTTGTTATTATTTTTAGTATTTGCCTATAAAAACGCGATTAGGTGCAAAAAAAAGATGCAAAAAATCTTCCAACCCAAAGGGGCAGGTGATCGTGGGTAGAGAGGACAAAGACAGCTGCAGTGGAGCAGATTTAGACTGTTCTGGGGGACAGACATCGCTGCACCGTGGGGTCAGCCAGGGAAACGAGAGTCATAAATTCAGAAGATGTTGCAGTGGGAAGGGCCTTTAGGATTCTTTAGTCCAGCAGTTCCCAACCTGCTTGAGGAGCTCTGGGGATGGGGCAACTCTGGCTCTGTGAAGGATGTGACTTGTCCTGGGGTCACAGTTGGCTACTAGTAAAGCTGGGGCCAGAATTCAGGCCTCCCACTCCCCGGCCACTGCTGTTCCACTGCATGAAGCTACTTCACGAACCATGAAAACAGTATGTTTCGTTTGCAGAAAGGCCCACCTGTGTACATACCCATACGGACTCTCATGTCAGCGGGGCAGGGAAACCCTAGGACAAGTTCCCTAGTGGTGAGAGTTCTCTGACTGGAAACTGTTGGAGGATGTGTTATTCACCTTCTGTAATGGGCCTCGAATCAGACATTTTTAGTGATATTTGTCCTGGGTAAGATAATCTGGAGTTTCCTCCGTCTATACCTCGCTTTCCTGTAAATAAATGTTCTAGGGAAGGCACCAAATCATTCAGGATCTTAAAACCAGATGTCCAGCATGGGGCTTAGGCGTTGTCCCTTCTTTCAAGTTGAGAACAGACCTGCCATTGTGTGGCTCCCTGGGGGCTGGAGCATCTTGTCTCAAACAATGGCTTACTGATTTACAGTGACCTTCTCCCAGGGACCAACAGTCACAGGCTCTCTTTCCCCAAATAGCTACACTACCTGGTACAGGACACTGAGCGGATAGGAGGCTTCTGTCTCCTGGAGCACTCAAAGTCTCTCTCTCTAGCTCCTAGTCTCCTACCCAGATTTTTATTTCCACTCACACAGTTTGTCTCTGATGCTTTGATTGCAACATTGTGAATGACAGGCATGGGCTGAACCATGAGGCCTGCGTCCCTGGATGGGCATTTGGAGCAGCTAGCTCTCTGCAGCATTCCTGGAGATAGAGGATATCTTAGAGGATATCTTAAAATGTCCTTCAGGTCAATGGTTGAAAAGATAACTTGCTATTTTGTAGGTCCCCTCCATCTGCTATGTCAGGATAATTCCTGCCATTTATTATCATCTAAATCAAAAGTCTGAGTTTTCCCTTATCTGAATAACCACAGAGAAGGGAACCAATTCCTTTCTTTTTCTTCCTTTTCCAATCGAAACCCAGTCCCACTGCTGCCCAGGAAGCCTAGAGCCAAGTTTACTACTGTTTGCTCATCCACATGCCTGCCCCCTCTCCACTGCTAAATATTCCAGGCAATCCCTTTCGTCTTTGTTTGCTTCTTAATTTTCCCATTTAAAGTGTAAAAGTCGGGCTTCCCTGGTGGCGCAGCGGTTAGGAATCTGCCTGCCAATGCAGGGGACATGGGTTAGAGCCCTGGTCCTGGAAGGTCCCACATGCCGCGGAGCAACTAAGCCCATGCACCACGACTACTGAACCTGTGCTCTGGAGCCTGCGAGCCATAGCTACTGAGCCCGCATGCCACAACTACTGAAGCCCAAGCGCCCTAGAGGCCATGCTCCGCAACAGGAAAGGCCACTGCAATGAGAAGCCCGCGCACCGCAACGAAGAGTGGCCCACGCTCGCCACAACTAGAGAAAAGCCTGCGTGCAGCAATGAAGACTCAACGCAGCCAAAAATTTTATTTAAAAAGTGTAGAAGTCAATGGTTTTTAGTATATTCAGAGTTGTGCAACCATCAGTTGTGCAACTTTGGAACAATGTCATCACCCCAGAAAGAAACGCCACACGCCTTAGCCATTACTCCCCAGTTCTCCCCCTGCCCATCCAGGCCTAGGCAACTGACAATCTACTTTCTGTCTCTATTTGATTTGCCTATTTTGGACATTCAAATAAATGGAACCATACACATGTGGTCTTTTGTGACTGGCTTAATTCACATAGCATACTATTTTCAAGGTTCATGCATGTTATAGCGTGTTTCAGTATTTCATTCCTTTTTACGTCAAGTAATATTCCATTGTATGGATATATCACATTTTGTTTATCTGTCCATCAGTTGATGGATATTGGGGTTATTTTCACCTTTTGGCTATTACGAACAATGCTACTATGAATACTTGTGTACGTGGTTCTGTGCGAACACCCGTTTTCATTTCTCTTGGTATAAGAGTGGAAATGCTGGGTCAGATGGCAATTCTGCTTAACCTTCTGAGGAACTACCAGACTTTTTCGAAGTGACTACACCATTTTACGTTTCCACCAGCAGCGTCTGAGCGTTCTACTTTTCCCACATTCTCACCAACACTTGTTATTTTCTGGGTTTTGTTGGTTTGTTTTAGTAGCCATCTTAGTGGGTGTGAAGTGGTATCTGATGTTAGTTTTGACAGCATTTCCCTGATGGATAATGACATTGGGCATCTTTTCATGTATTTATTGGGCATTTGTGTGTCTTCTTTGGAGAAACGACTATTCAAGTTCCTTGCCCACTTTTAATTGGGTTGCCTTTGATAGGGACAGAGTAAAGGGACAAAATAGGTGATTAAATAGTTAATCCCACTAAAAAAAAAAAGCATGGGAGACCCCTGTAAGCTAATGATCACTCAAGAAAGCAGGTTTACTTAACCACAGAACCAAGCTGGCTTGCTTAGCAACAAAACCATGCCACAGAAGCTTGAGACATGCCCCCAAACAGTAAAACAACGGTAAAGTGAGACCAACATCCTGCCCAGTAAGGTCAGTGAGTTAATAATTCCTAGGACACGCTCCTTTGCATGCACTACAAACAAACATACGGGGAAAACATGACATTATACTACAACCTGAGATGATTTACCACTTTTAGCATATGTTACCACCCTTCTGCTTATTTAAATAGTGCCATGACAGTCCCGGCTTCACCATGTAGGGACAAGAAAACTCCCCCGCCTGCTGTGGAGGAGCTGATGATGGAAGCGTGACGTCCACTCAACAATGGTCCTCTCCCCCTCCCCATTCTTCCTTTGATTATAAAACTGGAGCCCACTAAGTTCTTAGTGTGGCACCCTCTTGCCCACAGGCTTGTAAACCTCACAAGCATCCTATTCTGATAAATCACTTCTTATCTATCACTTTGCTGAATTCTTTCTGCACCAAGACATAAGAACCTACGCTCTACTAAGTCCCAAAATGCGTTCTGCGGTTTCACCTTTTTACTCCTGAGTTGTAAGGATTCCTTATATATTTTAGATGATGATTTGCAAATACTTTCTCCCCTCCTGTGGGTTGTCTGTTTCACTTTCTTGATAGTGTTCTTTGAAGCAGAGAAGTCTTAATTTTGATGAAGTCCAATCTATCTTTTTCTTTTGTTGCTTGTGCTTTTGTGCTCTTTTAGTAAAAATCCCATTTGCTGTCCTTTTCTTTCCCAGATGGTACTACCTATCATGAATTTCCCTTTTTCCTTTTTTTAAATGGTTCAGTCATTCATTACGATTTAATACTGTAAAGCACTCCCAGACATTCTTTAAAAGGGGTAAAAATGACCCTTGCTTAGCACAGGCAAAGAAGGAGAATTAAAATGTGGACTCTTGGCACTCACCTGCAACAGGTAACAATCAGTGCGATGCCCAGGATGAGCAGAAGCCCACCTCCCGCTGCTGCAATCACCACAGTGATGAGCTGATAGGCTAAACACGTTTAAAGGAAAAAAGTGGATTGGTAAGAGGGTAATGAATGAATAAAGGAATACCAAAAAATGGTCCCCTTCCCCGCCCCACGGCTACCCCATGCCTCAGCTGGTGACCACTTTTCATTTTCTGGGCCCCCAGCAAAGGCTGCTTGGGACTAGCTCTGCATTTTCTCAGTTGAAGGGGAGCAGATTGTACCATCCCCAAATATGCCTCTTTGGTGTATTTATTATTTTGAGCTGATATTTTTGAGAAACTGCAGACACAGGAGAAACTCTGAAAACTGAGTATTAATTACCCATTTGTAAGGGAAATTTACATTAGAAAGAGGCTTGTACCAGGAAGAGAGCTAATACCACAGATAACTTTTTCACCTGAGAGACTTATCTGCTTGGCACACAACCTTTGTGTCCCAAACATTTCCTCTTCTCACTTTCCTGTAAATTGCATTTTCCCCTTTGAAGCCCTAGACCCCTGGCCCTTTCCTCAGCTCAGGAGGGCGTATGAGCCTCAATCATCTGGCTGCCTTTTGAGTCTCATATCTTTGTGGGGCTCCCGTGTGTATGTGCATAATTAAAATTGTTTTTTCTCCTGTTACTCTGGCTTTTAATGGGAGTGGGGAGGGGGTGTCAGCCAAGAATCTAGAAGGGTAGAGGGAAAATGATTATCCCTCCTCTATACTATGTTGAGCAGAGTTTCTCTTTCTCAGCCACTCCTAGAATGGGGGCTCCCAAATTCTACCTGCAGACCAGCCCGATGACGTTGTTACCAATCCACGCTCAGAAGAGAAAAATAAAAGAGATGCATACATTTTTCAAAAACTAAACTCTTCTGGGTTGTTTTTTCCCTAGTTTTAATACCTTCTAAAATTTGGTCCTTCCAACTTTTTTTCTCACTTAACACAGATGCATTTTATCTTGTGTAAATTATGCCTCCAGTAAAGCTGCTTTTTAAAAAGTAATTGGAAAAAAAATATTTTCTTGGCTACTTCCCACCCTTGGTGGTTAATTGTTTTTTAAAATTTTTGAATTGATGTAAAATTTTTTAAATTTGGTTTTAGGTTCTTACTTGATAAAATAAAAAGAAGGCAACCCTAGGTTAGATTCCACAATTTTATAAGAAATATTACCCAGAGTCTGGGAATCACTGCATAAACCATGGTAGAAACTGGGTAGTCTCAACACATACACATTGAATTTAATTACCAGACATTAGCAGTCATATAAGCAAGCACAGATCATATATAATAAACAATATTAAAATTTTAATTAATTGGTTTTATACCTATGTATTTCTGGAAAACATATTTTCAATAAAATCTATTAAATATTCAGATTGTTTTTTGCTGTGGAAATACGATTATAATTGTGCTCTCAGGTTGTAAGGTCCAGGATGAAAAAAAAGAGCCAATGATCAGGTTTTCTATAGTAAATTAGGATGGAACCATACTCTCTAGGTATTCAGGTAAAGTCAAAGGATAACGCACAGAGCTGACAATGAGCAGACTGTGAGAGAAGAGCAAATACAAGTCATGCAACCATTTACCTGTCCTTTCTTGAAATAAATAGCACAGAAACCTGATCACTATGAAAAACCATCAGGAAACAAAGCCAAACCAAGGAAGGAGTTAATTCTCTCCCTCACCTCCTGACACATCTACTCCAGCTTCATTTTTTAAAAAGCGAGGACAGAAGACAAATCTCTTGAATTTGTCGACTTCCCTTTATCTCCACCAACACTACCCTGAGCCGCCATCGACTGCTGACCAGACAACTGTCATCACCTCCTAACTCACGCTCCTGTGCCCAGTCTTGCCCACTCACTCCAAAAACCAAATCTGACCATGCCATTTCCCTGCTTCAAAAAACCTACAGAAGCTCCCATTGTTCCTAACCAGAAACCAAAGTCTAGTTCTTGCTTATCCCTCCACACCAAGTTCATGTTTTCTCACTTCCGGCAAAACAAGTGAGCAGTCATTTTAGAAGTGACCCTTGCAAGTTGCTGCAGCTGTGGCAGGTTCCCCTTTGAAACAAGCACCTGTGTTGTGTCTAAAAAGAGACAAAGGCAGTGTAGACCAGTGCTTTCCAAACTATCTGTGGTCAAGGACCAGTTCTTCTTGGCCTGTGCTTTTGGATATTATTTTTAAATGAAGAAAATAAAATCTCATTTGTTCCTCTTGTCTTTCCCCCCAGGCACCAGCTATCATGAATTTCCTTCTCTCCTTTTTTTAAGGCATCTACTGCAGACCAATACTTCCGTAAAATACAACAAAGCTATTTATTTTACAAAGGATCCCACGCTTGGGTGTCACAGCCATGTCAGCGTAAAACGACTCTAAGTGCTTACTCTCCGTTTCTTTATCATCTTGTCGCCATCCTGTCCCAGTTCCTAGTTCCCACACTTTGTGGGGTGCCGTGTTAGGAGGTGGTTTGATATGATTTCAGGTCCCGTTGTTTGTGACAAGAATGAAATTGTTTTTAAGAATGAATTTATTGGGGAATTCCCTGGTGGTCCAGTCGTTAGAACTTGGCACTTTCACTGCCGGAGCCAGGGTTCAATCCCTGGTTGGGGAACTAAGATCCCGCAAGCCACTGGGCATGGCCAAAAAAAAAAAAATGAATGAAGTTATTGCTTTGATATAAAAGTGAAAATGTATTTCAGGATGTCAGCATCCACATCTGTGGCTGCCGACAGCACTTACTAGTGCTGCTGGGGGCTTAATAAGAACCTATGAAGAAGCAGCATGAACGAGGGGACATTTAGACTCTAAATGCTCAGAGTTTGTGGGGACTCTTGTGAGTGTTCGGTCTGGACAAGGCTATCCTTTGCTGATCTAAATAGCTCTCCGAAGACCTTGGGGCACCAGCTCCTCCCATGGTAAAGGGGACTCTTCTACCAGTAGTGGTGGAAGCCGGGCAGCGCAGTGGCCTCACAAAGATCATCTTGCCTGTCAACACGAGTGTCTTGACTCCCTAGCAACATGCTCTGGAAACAAGGATTGTGGGTTTTGCACTGACAGTTGGAAATCTGCTGAACCGTTTCTCCTGAGAACCAACTTGTTGAAAGGTACACCTCAATTAAGTTTGGACTTTATTCCTTTCGTCTCCCCTTTCCTGGAACAACAGTGTGATAAATATGTGATTAGCTTGGACTGTTATTTCTTTATTGACTTATTAAGAGACATCCTTGGGCTTCCCTGGTGGCGCAGTGGTTGAGAGTCCGCCTGCCGATGCAGGGGACGAGGGTTCGTGTCCCGGTCCAGGAAGATCCCACATGCCGCGGAGCGGCTGGGCCCGTGAGCCATGGCCGCTGAGCCTGCGCGTCCAGAGCCTGTGCTCCGCAACGGGAGAGGCCACAGCAGTGAGAGGCCCGAGTACCGCAAAAAAAAAAAAAAAAAAAAAAGAGACATCCTGTGTGCTACTGCCTTGTGAAATTATAATTCCCACAGTCAACCTGTGTTAAATAAAATGTTGGCAAAGACCACCTCTTGGTTTCTGAGCATAATTTGCCCCCTTGAAACAAAACACACTGATATAGACAAGTGCTTCTCAAACTTTTCCTGCACATCTGACTCACCCAGAGGACTTCTTAAAACTCAGATGCCTGCTCCCCACCCCAAGAGATTTGATCCAGCAGGTCTGGGCTAGGCCGAGAAGTTGTATCTCCAGTAAGCTTCTGAGGGATGGAGACACTGCCAACTGGAAGGCCACACCTTGGGTGGCACTGGCTTAAATTATGTAGGAGAGGAAAGAATGCTGGACTGAAATCCGAAGACCTCTGTGCACATAAGCACAGAGAAAGCGCCTGGGAGGGAACTCACAAAAAACGTTCACAGACGTTAGCACTGCCTCGGGTAATAATGGACTGGTACTTTCTTCTTCATGTTTTTCTCTATTTCCCAAATTTTATTCATGTGTTTATATAAACAGATACACACAACCTCCTCTAAATCTAGAAATTGTATGTGTATATATGTACCTATATAATTTCCTTTATACACATACATTTCTTAAAGAGTTGTTGTTCTTTGGCAGCCATGTCACTGGAAACTTGTAATACGCTTGTGGACAATATAACCCACAGATCTTTTTTCTCATACCTGTGGTCAAGTCAGCTCATGAACTACAACTGATCTTTCACACTTGAGGACTGACTTTAGATTTACTGTGAGGCCACCTGATGACGTACAGTGCATGGGACTGTAAATCAACCCCTACTGTAATGTTCACTAGTCCCATAGGTTCCCTGAATGTTTGTTTATTAAGGTGAGAACAAAGGCCATGTGTGCTGTCTTAGGTTCGTCTGTCCTATCCTTCCTACTTTGAAGAGATCCTGCAGAATGATGAACCTGGAATTCTTCACTTACTTTGTCTTGGACATTTGCTGACATTTCACAGTCTTTCCCAAGCAATGGCTCTATCTTTACATTATTCTTCTTGTGGTTTGATCATAGGTTGGTGTTGCTGTCAGCGCTGTTGCCATTTTTCATTAAACCAACCCATTCTGGGCCTTAGTCTTTCCCGGAGGCTATATTTGTCCTTGCTTATATGCTTATTTGGATGGAATCTACAGGACTGTCTGCTTAGTCAACCCCCTTGTGGGAACTGTCCACCCCCCTCCACATGCAGGGTACAGTGGGGTGGTTATGCTTATACATGTAACACCATCCCCAGCCATAGGGGTTTGGTCTGGGAGTAAGCACAAGGTCCAAACTGGATCAATTAGTTCCTTCCCAGGAATCTCATTCTGGGAGAGAGACAGAACCTTCTATTTCAAAATGACTAAGCCAGTGACGCGCACCCGAAGCTCTTTGGTGAGCCTAAGAGCCTCACCTCTGGTGAGGCAGAAAGCCTGTGCACGGACCCACAGCACGAGTAGAGACAGGGATGAAGACGGATCCATGTTAACGTGTGCTCTGAAAAGAAGGCGCCGACCTCCTGTTGCTGTGACTCTCCACAAGTCCCTGATTCTTGCCATTCCTGATGCTGGAATTCCATGAC